AAAGATAGTGGCTGGATATCAAGAAACAAACATATCATATGATAATTTATATGTCGAAATATAATTTAGTATTTTTAGAATAAGTACGTATTGGTTTTGAAGCATGGAAACACTGGCTGTGGCATTAGAAGTGTTATTAATGAGAACTCCAATAATCCAATTTGATTACCTTCCTAGACGATTTTTGTATTTTGACAAGGGAAGAGAAGCCTCTTCAGTAGTTTTTAGACCTAGTTGGTGTTATTTCTTTATTTATATATTGAAAGGTCTTATTTGAAATGAAAACTGAACCTCTAAGTGCTCAAAATTCATCTCAGACATTATCTCTAGATACATCCCTGTATATAGGCCTAATAGACAAAAAGTAAATAAATTTACGGGAAACGTCTTGATAAATAGATGAATTGAACTGTCCGTTCAATTATGTCTGTATTGTTGCTTTTGATATAAAAACACGATCATTCGCGGACAATATATGGCAATAAATCGAGACTTTCTACCAGAGGGTACCAGCTAATTATCAATTGTAGTCTGATGTGACACAGTAGTTTCCCTTGAAATAAACTCTTTGATAAAAAAGGGTAGATATAGTCAACTTGGTTCGGTTGACCAAACCTACCTAATTGCAGCCGGGTCCCGAAGGAATATCTAAAACTTAAACAAAGATCAATTACGTTCAACCCTTCCTCGGTGAATCGAATGCTCTCATTTCTACAAATAAGAACCATTACCTTTTTTTAAAACAACACAATAGCAAGTTTCGTGCTTTTGGAAATTACGAGTACTAATGTTTACAAATCGAACATTTCAAATATGGCCGCTGCCTTCACGCCGCGAAAGTTAGATTGTAAAGATTTACATTCATATTTGAAGACATTACCGAGTCCTGTGCTGGATAGATTGTACAATCACCCCGCTACATGCTTAGCTGTCTTTAGGTAAAAATTGAAATGTTATAGTGACAGTAGTAATTTATGTAATTTCAGCTGAGTCTGTTGATTTATTTCTTCCAACCCTTACTTAGGAAATGTTTGGCTGTGACTGAATACTTTTTCGAGGGAAGTGCGTTTTTATTCAATGTTAACTTAGGAAAAGTTATGTTTTTTATCAACGCAAAGTTATTCTAAGACTATCAGTACCGTTATAAGAGTTATAGGCCAATTCAAATTATCTTTAAAAGTGAATTGGCAAATTTCGATTTACCAACCAATTTGCGAATAATACAGTTGTTCATTTTCTATGTGAAATAATGATTGTAAAGAGTTATTTACAGAGCATAGCCTATTTAAAGTGGTGCTGAGCATTAAAAATGTTCTTTCAATAACAAAAATAGAAAACAAATCACCATTTCTTTTATTTCTAACCTTAAATTCCTATGTATTTTTGTAGAGAACTGCCTGATTTGGGACGTCAGTATGTGATGAGAACATTATTTGTTGAACAACCAGTATCACAGGCTGTTATAGGACAGTGGGTTAATAATAAATTCATTAAGTAAGTTTCATATTGAATAAAACACAACAAGGTTTATACTCAGTAGTTACCCTCTTGAATTATATATTGAATTCTGTTTTTGTTTTTGTTAACTTATATCTAAATTTGTACTGCCAATCAATTTTGAAGGAGTATTAAGCATTATGATGATATTATTTTGATTTTTAAACATCAGTGACTTCCAAAATTCAGCTGTAATATCTTTTTCCTGAATGACATTCATGTCTATTTTCTGTGATATAGTGACCATAGATATGCATGTAAAGCATTAACAGAATTAAGAGTATGGTATGAACAGCCTATACCTGGTGGACAACCTGGATGGGTATTGAATCAAACTTTCAGAAATAATACTAGAGTTGCTTTACTAGGAGGGTAAGATTCTTCCTGCAATTCTTTCTCATATGGCCATCCCTGCATTGGCTGCTTTTTATAAAGCAATTTTCTGAAAAGTTATTTGCTCATCATAATAATGTACATCATTTTGTAATCTTTGATTCACTTTATGCAGTACAGATAACAAAATGAGCAGTAGATTCAATGAAGTAAATTCTAATTCCCTTCTAGTGATTAGGTTTTTTTTTGTTTTACAGCTAAGCTAATTGCAATTTTTAAGTTAATTTAAATCCTCCATTAAATAGGAGGGAACATATCTTTTTTAGTCATATTTTCTTTCTGTTTCCCTTTTAGTGTTTTGTCTATCATTTTAGAACAGACATTTTCAATTTCTGTTTGTTATTTCAGAGGAAAACCATGGATTGGTGGCAGATCAACTACAGTCGATAAATATGCTAAAGACATTTTATTTTTAGATAAATACGCTCAGGAAAGATGGGAGGTAAGTGTTCAATTGATTGATCATAACTGTGATGTGTTGCATGTTTAAACCTTTTCAACCCCAAAACAACGTCAATCGTAGAACTCAAGTTGAAATAACTATGCTATCTACTTACAGTGTGTATTACACTTTATGGTGGGATCATCAGAAGGTATAGAAGGTGTTAGTAGAGATATTATAGAAGTATTGAATAACAGTGGTCTCATGAGAGTGTATGTTTTTCTTGGTTATTATTGGTTATTTTATATAGAGCTCCATCATGATAATGAAAATGATCTAATTTCATGGTATTCACAACATGAAAGTTGCTATCAGATAACTGTTGATCAAGACAATATATTCTGAACAATATTACTGGTGATATATTTTAACGTAATACTATTAAAACAACCAAATGGACAAATAAGTCGTAAAGCCCTGCTGTTTCTCTACTTTTTATGATTGTTTTATGTCTATAGAATAATTACTATGTTCTCTGTTATGATTATGTATATATGACAATATTCTAGTCATGCCACAGATCCAAACCTCTATTTCTCTATGTTTATGTATTTATATATTTTTGACAATATTCTAGTGATGCCACAGATCCTAACCCAACAATAACACCAGCAGGTTTCCAGTTTCTACTCATGGATACAGCATCTCAAGTCTGGTATTTTATGTTACAGTATTTAGAAACAGTCGAGGTAACTTTCAACTTTTTTTTAATTTCCTTTGTAGGGATCAGCTGACAGTCAGATGTTTGTTTACTAACCTAGATGTTAAAAAAATGTAGGTGGAATGAGAGTGTCTGTGAATTTTGTAAGGAAGACAAAAATGAAACCAGCAGTTAAAATGGGATGAAAGGTTCTCCCTCAGTAAAACCACGATATATCAATAACTAAATCAAGATTAAATTAATTAATTAGTAATATTTAATAGCCTTTTTTTTGTCCCATAGCATAGAGGAATGGATCTAGTAGAATGTTTATCATTTTTATTTCAACTCAGTTTCTCTACACTAGGACAGGTAGAATTTATTATTTATTATATTTTAATTGAGAGCTGTCAGTGAAATCTCAACCATTTGCTGTCTAAACTGGTCTTGGATTTGATCTCAGCATGGGTTGAGATAATATATTGCAACTTTTCCTCTTGCTGGTGATGCATGTTACTGATATAGTTTTATTTCTTTATATGGGAGACTTAAAAAGGATGGAATTTTCTAAATGCTGTGCATCTTGAAAATCCCATGGTAATTACAAATCCTAAAAAGTAGTCAAACTTGCTCTGCTTATTTTAATACTGAAGTCGAAGAACTTTATAATTGAATATTTATTGCTTGATAAGCAATTTTCATATTGTTACCGTATAAACATGTTTTACATATTCAAAGAAATGACATATACAAGTACTGAATTAATGAATAATTTATTTTATGTTTCAGGATTATACTACAGATGGTATGAGTGAATCTCAACTCAAATTTTTACAACATCTACGAGAGTTTGGTTTAGTTTATCAACGCAAGGTAGTTTGAGAACTTTAACTTCAATTTTATTATTTAATATTTTTATTACAATGATCATTATAGTGTTAATTGCCGCATTAAGAAAAGTGTAACAACTTTATTCTCAGATTTCGTCAACTAGTCAGTTATGTAGAAGGTGACTTGAGTTATCCATGTCTGTATTTCAGAGAAAATCTCAGCGATATTACCCGACGTGTCTGGCTATAAACTTAGCGTCTGGTTTATCGAACGTTTCTACAGGGCAGGAAAAAACAGGGTTTATTATAGTGGAAACTAATTATAGAGTTTACGCTTATACAGGTAAATACTGGATGTTCTGAACTACTTTATTTACTCAAATACTGATTGGCAGTTCCGGACTAATTTACTTGGACAAACACTCACATTGAATGTAAGACTTATTAATTGATGTTGCTGTGGTTACTCAATGAGTTAGTTTTGTTAAAATCTTTTAATTCATATTGTAAATAAACTACCATATATTAAGCTGATATTTGCTCTGCCATGATTTTTCAACTGTAGAAAGATCTAAGAGTAATATCTTAAATTTGATGCTATTTTTGATCTATTTTTAGATTCCCCGTTAAAGATTGCTCTATTAGCTATATTCTGTGATATGTTATATAGGTAAATATAGTTTTTATTTTATCTGTGTGTTTCATACTTATTCATTATTCCATGAAGTTAACTGAAGGCCACAACTCTGCCAATGAAATGAGAAAAATGCTTTGTTTCTGCATTGAGGATAAGGGACATGCAAGCAGTAAGATTTGTATGTTTCAGAATATTCAGAAAGATATGTTCTAATCTCAGTTAGCATGTGAAAATCATAAGTCGTATTTCCTCAATATTGTGGAAATTGGTATGGATAATCTTTTCAGTTATTTACAGTACAGTAGGTTATGTGATTATATTTGTAGGTTTCCCACTATGGTAGTATGTAATTTAAGTAGAACAAGTGTACGAGAAGCTTTAATTAGAGGTATTACTGCTGAACAGGTTAGATTTAACTTCTTCTTCTTTAACATCTGGTGTATTATTGTTAATAATTGAGATGCAGTTCAGATATTCACCTGACCAGTCACTTGAATGGAGTATATTGGCTATCTTAACTAATTTAATTAAGGAGTGTTTGATAAATAGATAAAAAGTAATTTTAGTTAGATGACAGGACCCAATGATAGAAATTCAGACTGTGATAGGGATTTGAGCACATCTCAAGATGTGCCTTGATATTGAAGTTAGACTGTCAACCCCACAAAATTTAACCACATGTAGGTTTGACTCTTTTTTTCTTTCTTTTTTTTTTTGTTACAGATCTTAAACTTTTTGCGGTCTCATGCTCACCCTAAAATGTTAGCTGATGTAAGTAACTGTTTTATCTCTTTTGAATAATTTAGTGATAACCATGTTGTGCAAACATTCTTTTGGTAATTTCTTTGTCTGTATATGTTGTTCAAAAAAGAAAGTTTAAATCAGAAGATTTAATAAATAATTTCAGAATAGCAGCATTAATATACATGTATTGCCAAAGATCCTGTTTGAAAGGAAGTTGGCCCATATTCATTTCGACATATTTGAAGTGTAATTGTATTTTGTTATTTATTTGTTGATATTAAAACATAATATATATTGTTATTTATTTGTTAATATTTGTTATTTAGACTCCAGTATTACCACCAACTATAACTGATCAAGTTAGATTATGGGAGTTAGAAAGAGACAGGTTAAAGTTTAATGATGGTGTTTTATATAGTCAGTTTAATTCACAAGCAGATTATGAATTACTCAGTGATTATGCCAAGGTATTGTATAATATATCATATTACTTTTAACTCATTATTCATATAAACACCAATATTTCATGATATATTCATTTATATACATGTACGTAAATGAACCAATATATTGAGTCACAGTGACTCAAATTTCAAAACTGAAGTGTTGGCATAATCAAAATGACCTCAGCTTTGATGCATATATCGAGGGTATAGAACACAAATGTGATATGTCCAAAATTTCAAATTTCAGTTTTTTTTACCAATATGCGCCATTTTAAACACTCTATCTTGGGGCACAAATCTTATATCTCTAACCTGCTTTGTTTGAGTAGAAAAGTACAATTTCCATATGTGCCATGTCCTCCAAAACAGGATCACTTGGTGCTCAAAAGTGATATGTCCGGACATGTGATATTTGCTATCCAGCTGTACTGTATTGTTTGGAGCACAATTGTGACATGTCCAGATTATGTACTTTTATGATTGTATATTTTGTACAACTATGTTTCTTGTGCACTTGTTTACATGGTCAATATCGATTGCAATTGCTGTTTACCCTGTTGACCAGTTCAAGGTCACATTCAGACCATGTGCTTGTTTGTAAACTACAAAAATTGAATTTCGACTTAAATGCCAAGTTAAACCAAGTCATTTAAGGTAATTACTTTTATTATTTATACAAGTTGTGTGTATCAATGTTGAGATAAATTAAGCTTGCTATTTAGTTCTGTGTATTGTCGCACGAAAGTAATTTAAGGATTTCTGAGTTCTTTCCCCATAGTAGGTAGCCTACTGTAATTCCTACCTATTTACAACTATGCACGTCATCCCTGCTGTAACAAACCCTGAATAAGGCTTTCAACTAGATGTGCACATTTGAAGAAAAAGGGGGGGGGGGGTGGGGGTGTAAGGTTCTGAATGATTATTAAGGCTAACTAATGACTGCAAATTATTTATTGAGAGCTTTCATTTAAGACCGGGCATGGCCACACTTTTCCTTTTCTTGGACCTGTAAACTGTCTTATCTAAGACACAAAACTATAGTAAAATCTCAAAATTATTCGTTTTTCAGGGAATCATGGCACTTAATCGATTTAAAAAGACATTAGATGTTGAGGAAGTTGTAGCCTGCATAAGTGAAACATTAGTAGAAGATTCACCTGATGATGATGGGGTTATAGAACTCGAAGGAAACGATGGTAGCAGTGCAATCCAATCTATTGTTAAGAGGTGTGAAGAAATTCGGTCAAGTCAAGAGCAGGGTGATACCGATAGTAATACCAATAGTGATGAATCTGACGTGGAGCCTGATGATCCAGATTATCAACCTGAAGGCGATTCAATGAGTTATTCAGATGACAATGACGAACCAACAAGAAACGATCCAAATGTTGATGGTCCTGATGTTCTTGATGCTATCCCTGGTCCTTTCGTAGCTGATGTTGCCATCCCTGTTGTTTCAGATCATGTCATTCTGGCCCCTAATGTTACTGATGTGGATGTTTCCAGTCAACGTGTTGATGTTATTCCTGTTACCGATGTTATTGCAGACCCTGTTAGAGATGGTGTAGCAGTTCCTGATCATACTGCTGATAATGAACCAACCCGTGGAAGAAAACGAAAACGTCAATCTAATTTGTGGAAACGCAATATTCGTAAGCAGAGTAGGAGTGCTGGAACCGAGTATGTTACGAGAAAAGGAAATTTAGTTTCCGAAAGGAAACCCTTAGTGGCAAAGTGTTTTCGAACTGGATGCCGCTTTAAGTGTGCTCACAACTTTACAGAGGAGGCGCGAACGACAATTTGTAGTGAGTATTATTTCCTTGCAAATGCCGCACAGCAAAAGGAATTTATAGTGTCCATGGTAACTGAAAAAGAAGTTAGTCGTCATCGAAGTCGCAAAAACATCGAGAAAAAACGCAAAGATAAATCTTATACTTATAACCTAGCAATTAACAAAGAGAAGAAGCGCGTATGTAAAGATTTCTTCTGTAAAACGCTGGCCATAAGTACGAGCATTATCTCTGGTGCTTTACTCGGCAAAGGTGAATCTGGTGCATATATTGGCAAGGACCTACGCATTGGTAAAGTTCCGCCAAACAAAACATCTGAAGAGAGGTTGCAACATGTTCGAGACCACATTAATTCGTTCCCTAGAATCGAAGCACATTATTGCCGTAAAGATACTAGTATTCAATACTTATCTCCAGAATTAAATGTTAAGCAAATGTACCGGCTCTACAAACTGCATTGTCTTGAAACCTCTTTCGAAAACCCGATTAAAGAAAGTCGCTACAGAGAGGTATTTGTCACAGAGTTCAATCTGAGAAACTTTTGTCCGAAGAAAGACCAATGTACTGTATGCAATGCTTATGAATCAGCTTCAGCTGAAGACAAGGAAATGCTTCGTGAGAATTGGGAGCAGCATAAAAAACGAGAGGCAGAAGCAGATGCCGAGAAGACAAAAGACAAAACTCTAGCAAAGATCGATGATCAATACCATGCCGTTACATTCGATCTTGAAGCTGTCTTAACCACACCACATGCTGGTGATGCCCAAATTTATTATAAACGAAAACTTGCGGTATACAATTTCACAATCTATGATGCTGCTACAGCTCATGGTCAGTGCTACCTTTGGGATGAAACAGAGGGTGGTAGAGGGGCGAACGAGATAGCGACAAATGTGCTTCATTACCTCAGAAATTTACCAACTTCCGTCCATCACTTTTCAAGCTTTTCAGACACTTGTGGGGGCCAAAATAGAAATCAATTCATGGCTGGTGCTATGCTATACGCCGTCCAATCATTGACAAATCTGGAAATTATAGATCTGAAGTACATGGAATCTGGGCACAGTTACTTAGAAGTAGATTCCATGCATGCCACAATTGATGGTTCTCGCAAACACCAGAAAGTTTACACGACGCGCGAATGGGAAATTCTCATAAAGGGGGCGAGAAAAAGGCCTGGTCCGTATGACGTCAAAATCATGCATCACAAGGATTTCCTGAACATCAAGGAAGTAACAGGGATGATTATTAAAAACAGAACAAAGAACACCGATGGTGATGTGGTGAATTGGCTCAACATCAAATGGCTGAGGTTTGAAAAGGCTGTTCCATACATCATTCAATACAAATATGAAATCACCAGTCCCGAGTTCATGCAAATCATTGTGCAAGCAGATCGTGGCAGACGAAGATCTATTCAAAGTCTACCTATCGCATCTCTTTATACTACACGCCTTCCAATTACCAAGGAAAAAAAAGATGACCTCCTTAGCCTTCTCCGCAATAGAGTCATCCCACCTGAGTATAGGACCTACTATGAAAGTTTACCTTCATCAAAACGTGGCACTGTTGTTGAAGAAGAAGAAGATTCATAATACATGTGAACAAACAAAATAAAATATTGAATAATTCCAATGTTGTTCTTCATATTAATTTCAGTTGATAGTTGTTCGACTATGTCATTATGTGTGCTAATAATCCTGGAGCGCAATAGCAATATGTCCATTTATTGCACTTTTTGCTGCTATGCAATATTGCAACATTGTTGAATTATATTATGTCACTTCATGTCATTTGAGATTTGATTTGAGTTAAGGTAAACATGTACCACTTGCTAACAGCATTATATAATGAGCTAGTGTCAAGTACTTTAATGCTAGAAGGTGGATGTTATACAAAGTGTTAGAGTTAACAACTAATTTTTCTTTCTGAACTCCATTTTTAGGATTTAGGAGTATTGGTGTGGGAGAATGCAACCAAGAGAGTTATGGTTGTCACTAAATCTGGTCATGACGATGTTAAAAAATTCTGGAAACGTCAGAAAAACAGCTGATGACTGTAGGAATTAGAAAATAGGTTTCGAAAAGGCATCAATATTATGGTTCAAGTTTAGAGTGAAGAGTTTATAAAAGACTGGCCAAGTTCACAATTACTGTTTTAAAAAAGAAATGATAGAGTAGAAACTAAAAATTGTACTTGTAAGGGTTTGGGATGTGAGCTCTATTTTACCAGTCGTGTCCAACTACAGCACCAAAATACATGGTTGTGAAGCTTAATAGACAATTTTGATAACATTAAGAGATTTTTGGTCACATATTTATATTATGACTTATAAAGTTTATTTTTTGTACAATTGAAAGGTATGTTTTACAGCTAAGCAAAGAGAATTTCTTACAGCAAAGCAAAGAGAATTTCTTACAGCAAAGCAAAGAGAATTTCTTACAGCAAAGCAAAGAGAATTTCTTACAGCAAAGCAAAGAGAATTTCTTACAACAAAGCAAAGAGAATTTCTTACAACAAAGCAAAGAGAATTTCTTGCTTTTGCATTCCAAATGACAAAATTGAGAAATTGTGTTGGAATTGTGATTCCATTAAACTTAGGTCATTTCATTCTATGCCATGTGTGTATTGTCAAAATTAATTCTTGTTTATACAACGTGTTTATATGATGTGTATGTGTAAAAGACTGTTTTGTTATGTATATGTTTTGTATATAATTGTATATTGAAATAAATTTTACAGCAAATTCAGCTCATAATATAATTATCTCTTCATAGTATTACTCATCAATGTACATGACATATATGGTCTCATAAGGGTCATTAAATTAATCATTTTTCCTTTAATCTTTATCTAATTTACAATTAATTCATTGTACAATGTATACATTTGCCTTTATAAAACTTCAATTCATTCTCTATCTATAGCTTTATATATTTTACAGTTCATGCTCTAGCTTTATAAAACTTACAGTTCATGCTCTAGCTTTATAAAACTTACAGTTCATGCTCTAGCTTTATAAAACTTACAGTTCATGCTCTAGCTTTATAAAACTTACAGTTCATGCTCTAGCGTTATGAAACTTACAGTTCATGCTCTAGTTTTATAAAACTTACAGTTCATGCTCTAGCGTTATGAAACTTACAGTTCATGCTCTAGCTTTATAAAACTTACAGTTCATGCTCTAGCTTTATAAAACTTACAGTTCATGCTCTAGCTTTATAAAACTTACAGTTCATGCTCTAGCGTTATGAAACTTACAGTTCATGCTCTAGTTTTATAAATTTTACAATTCCTGCTCTAGTGTTATAAAACTTACAGTTCATGCTCTAGCTTTATAAAACTTACAGTTCATGCTCTAGCGTTATGTAACTTACAGTTCATGCTCTAGCTTTATAAAACTTACAATTCATGCTCTAGCTTTATAAAACTTACAATTCATGCTCTAGCTTTATAAAACTTACAATTCATGCTCTAGCTTTATGTAACTTACAGTTCATGCTCTAGCTTTATAAAACTTACAATTCATGCTCTAGCGTTATGAAACTTACAGTTCATGCTCTAGGTTTATAAAACTTACAATTCATGCTCTAGGTTTATAAAACTTACAATTCATGCTCTAGCTTTATAAAACTTACAATTCATGCTCTAGGTTTATAAAACTTACAGTTCATTCTCTAGCTTTATACATTTTACAATTCATGCTCTAGCTTTATAAAACTTACAATTCATGCTCTAGGTTTATAAAACTTACAGTTCATGCTCTAGCTTTATACATTTTACAACTCATGCTCTAGATTTATAAAACTCACAGTTCATTCTCTAGCTTTATACATTTTACAATTCATTCTCTATCTATAGCTTTATAAAACTCACAGTTCATTCTCTAGCTTTATACATCTTACAATTCATTCTCTATAGCTTTATAAAACTCACAGTTCATTCTCTAGATTTATAAAACTCACAGTTCATTCTCTAGCTTTATACATTTTACAATTCATGCTCTAGTTTTATACATTTTACAATTCATGTTTTAGCTTTAAGCGATTTACAATTTGGTAAAACTTTTTCAAATATTGAAGATTATTATAAATACATGTGTCCTCTATTACATACAGTACACAAAACAAAGATCCGTTTCCTTAAAATAAGCCCATAAGATAGTTTCATGATCCAAACACATGAGAATTCAATTCCCCTTAATTTCCCGGTTTTAAAAAATTTAAATCACAACCCTAATAATTATATCCACGTGAGGCAGATATTTCACGAGTACGCCACTCACTAAATATCTCGAATTGTGAGAACTTAATGCTTAAAGGAATCCCAAGAATGGTTTTCTAACAGGTTCCCGCATGTTGAAGAGGGTCCTGGTGACAAACTTCCAGAGTCCATCATTGATACAGTTACAATCTTCTTCTTCTGGGTAGTAGTAAACCATGACATACTGGTAGGCTGTATAATAAAGTCACCCTTACATATCATAAATATAGTCTAAATTGAAAAGGACTTATCTGACTCAAATGAGTCTAACTCAAGATTTTACGTACATCCCCTTCTAGTTACACCAATAGCTACCTAGTCTGCAATATCAGCTTCTGCGAAATCAGAAATCCACCAAGTAGTTTCAAGAGAATCTGAATTGAGAGACAAACACATGCTCATAAGATCCATCCAGTGTAAAATGTGTACTTACCTATAGGAATACCAATTGCACCAGCAAGAGTCACGCCTCCAACGATGACTGCGCGAATCCAGTTCCATTTAAATCTGGTTTGTTCTTCTTGAAATTCTTCAAAGTCCCCATCATAAAACTCCTCATCCGATCTGTGTAATGGCAGAGCTTGTGGGATGTACTCACAGGGCGATTCGGAGCTGTACTGGTGACTCTCGTGATCATGTAACACTTCCACTACCTGGTGTGATAGAGGTGCGCCCAGGCCATGAGCATCAGCTGAAAGAAATACACATTTGCTGCATTTAACCATTTTCTATAAAATTCATTAATTTTTTTGAGGTACCAGCTTATCAATTCATTTAGGCTAGACAGACGTATGGTCTTGTGGGTCATAATGCTATACAATAAGAGGAACCTCAGTTTAGTTGCCCATAGCCTTTTCGTCATGTAATTAAGACATCGGAATGCTTGCAGTGGATCTTACCGTTTAAACGAAATATCTAAGTTCTAAACATGTTTTCATTAAGGAACTATTTAACACGAAGACTTAGAAACGAGACGTGAGGTCAGTGGCTCAACTACTATAAGGACTGGTTGAACCACGAGCCCCTACCCCCAGACAAAAATGAATGAGAGAACATAGAAACTTTTCCGAGCCCTCACTCATTTAGTTGAGCCACTGTGAGAGGTTACAATACGTTAAACTTTCTTACACTTAACACTTGACTTTCTTCTATGAATAGAATGACGATGTGGGGCTTTAGCTCTTCTCCTCTTACTGTCATGATCTTTCCAATATTCAAGGGTGGCATCAAAATCATATTCTTGATAAACCTGTGGAACTTCTAATAATGAATCCCGTGTTTTCCATCTGTCCAAGTTATTTTGAAATCTGTTGCTGTACTCTTCTACAAAAGAAAATCACGTTAAAAACTAAAATGGATGGGGTAAGTTTTTTTTTACTAAGTTTGCTTTTGACCCAGTGCCTCTATCTGCACTAAGTTCAGGGCTTTCCCGCCAAAATATATGGCAGGATTTCCCAAACGGCATTCTGAAATGGTTCCGCCACTATGACCATCATCCATGTTGTTCAGGGTTTCTATACATGCCCAATCCGCACTCTATCCGTCCTTCAAAAAAAAAAAAAAGCTCTGACCAATCTGGCACTTTGGAAAGGGGTCCCATACCATGACCACCACTCTGTTCAATCCCATCCTTGTCAGAACTTGGCCCCGTACAAGCTTCCTAAGTCAATCTCGCTAACTTTTGATATATTTGAAAATCAGAAGGTCTTATTAGCTACGCTTCTAAGAAAAATAAATTCAATTAAGATAAATATCTAAAATTCCTTCCTTAGATTTCGCTCCAATTTGTGCACGGTGTGTTATATAATAGAAAGAATTGTAAACCACACCTTTTTACTATACTTACCACTTGTTTCTTCATAATCAGGCCAGCTTACCGAGTTTCCAACTTCGGAAGTCATCTTGAAAACCTTAACGCTATAATGTGAGGGAAAGGTATTGTGACGTCATAGACATGGGCCTTACAACAAAATAACGTTAAAAGTAATTTTGCAATTTTTCACAATTGGAAAATATCTTACTTTTCTGTACCATGTGGGCCAATGAAGACGGGCAACGCCTTGCAGGGAGCAATGAGGGAAATTTTGTCAGGACAGTGGCATTAGCCTGCTCTTTTTCGATTTCCAACTGTCGATGGATGCACAATGGGAGAGGACATTCAAATTGCCTGTTGTAATGAATTGCCTGTGCCAGTGGCCTGACTGGACAGTTCTGTGATACCCCCATCTGTGATTCAAAGAATCACAAATTGAGCTTTGTTCAACTTGACATTTGAAATAACACAACAACAAAAAATCAAAAAGGTGTTGTTCACAAGGTCAATTGGGTTATGGTTATGGTTATGGATAATTGATCACTTTAATATGGTCACTTCATAGTAACCTAATATGATGGTAGTAGCCTAATCTGGTTGTGGTAAATGTGTTTTTTTGGTCACAGTAGGCTAATGTGGTCGTGGTAGTTGGGGAACAGTAGCCTTAAGGTCACGGTAGCCAAATACGGTTGTGGTTATTGGTTCACAGTAATATAATATGGTCACAGTAGCCTAATTCGGTTGTGGTTATTGGTTCACAGTAGTTGGGGAACACTAGCCTTATGGTAACGGTAGCCTAATGGGGTCGTGGTAATTGTGGCTCAGTAGTTTAATGGTCACAGTAGCCTAATATGGTCGTGGTAATGGGACAAAGGTAACCTAATACTCATGGTAATTTGATCACAATATTTTGGTCATGGTAATATGGTCACAATAATATGGTCATGGTAATATGGTCACCATAATACGGACATGGTAATTTGGGCACAATAATATGGTCATGGTAATATGGTTACAATATTTTGGTCATGGTAATTTGGTCACAATAATTTGGTTATGGTAATTTGGTTACAATAATATGGTCATGGTGATACGGTCATGGTAACTTGGTCATGTTAATTTGGTCACAATAATATGGTCATGGTAATATGGTTACAATATTTTGGTCATGGTAATTTGGTCACAATAATTTGGTTATGGTAATTTGGTTACAATAATATGGTCATGGTAATACGGTCATGGTAATTTGGTCATGGTAATATGGTCACAAAATTTTGGTCATGGTAATTTGGTAATGTTAATGTCAAGATGGTATCAATATGATGATGTTAAAATGGTCACAGATATATGGTCATGGAAATATGATCATTATAAGGTAGTGACAGACTAATATCAAAATATTTTATTGAGCAAAATGTAAAGCATAAAACAATAAAAAGGAATGTTTAAAGTGAAATATAAAAATACAAGATCTATATATAAATATATACAAATTACTGACATTGTAAAATCAATACCAGAAGTAAGTAGTTTGATTTCAGTCATGTTTATAAGGGGCAGAATGGAAGACAGGCCTGTCAATCTGTACTCAGGATCTGATCTTGATACAATATCATAAAAACTATGGAAAGGAATTACAATTCTCAACATGTAATATTAAAGAGTTGAAGGTTTTCCAAACATTATGGTTATTAAAACATACTGTTCCACCATTTCTTCGAAACTGAGATGACTGAAAATGAAATGATTATGTTTATGAAAAATAAGTCTTGTAAGGTTTTCTAAATTTTTTTAAGTGTATCATGGGAACAGATGGCAACAATTTGCACCATTCTGATTTTCGTTTTTGCAATGCCCTTTTAAATAAGCCTTTTCCATGGTCATTCAAAAATATTTCTAAGGAGTTTTGTGATAGAGACGTCGTGAAATATTTTAGAAGTCTGATTTAAATAGTGAAAATTGATCAGTTTACACAATACACATACAAAGTTTATAAAACCACTTTATGATCAGCATTAGTATTAGTATTATAATATTTTAGCTATCGAAGACTTGGATTGAATGGAAACTTTCGTTTATTTCATAAGAAAGGGAATTTGCAAGTTTCAGACTGGGAGATGGTGACATCATCAAAAGATGAAACTCCTTCAAAATCTCTATTCACACCATTATGCCTGGTATTGGTCCATGATATTAAAACATATCTAGGTTCCAGTGATGATTCGAAACATAAACATAATGATTCTATTAACTTGTTGGATAGAATAAAACTGGTATTCAAAATTCTAAAAACTACGAGTAAAAAGACATATTTCTTTATCATTTCTAATACAGTTTATTATCAAACTAGGTATCTGCGTTCACGTTCAAAAAAAATGTGCAGTGATAGATAATAACTAAAATTCTAACCTCTCTGTTGATATCTCCAATACACACATATCCTGAATCAGTAATACCCCATTTACTATGGTCTTTGGTATCTTCAAACTGGATGACATCAGTCATACCCACTAATGCTACATTCAATACCTATATAAAATAGACATTCATTATTCTAATACAAAAATTGTGTTGCACTTATCTTCAAAAGATAGTGAATAAAAACAAAGGAAATTGGTTGAAATTTCAAAGAGCTTAATATTTTCACTATCTAAGATCACAGGTTAATATTCAGAGGTTAATATTCAATACCAAATTTGATCAAATTCAGTTAAAAATGTAACATTTACAAGGCAGTAGGAATGGGCTTATATACATCCACATAGAGAGATGTAACATAAACAAATTTGGCCCATTTTTATGTGTTAAAAAAGCTGGAGAAAAAAGTAGTAACTAACCTTATATTGACTACAGTTAGAGCCCATTTGACCCTTCCCATTCTCCCAGGTTTCTGTTCTCATATCAGATTTATAAAATGGTGCTACTAGATCATGGTATAGATCTATAAAATATAACATTTCATTTCATATAATTTTTTTTTTATTAATAACACATGATTTTATTATCAGAAAATAAAATAAAAGTGTCATGAATAACCCTATGTTACTCCAAATTACAAATATAAGTCAAATCTTTACATAGCAAAATTTTTTATTCATTTTTTTTTTAAATATGTCTTTATTAATATGTGCCAAAATACATTTTTTTTTTTTTACATAATATACATATTAACTTATATACATACTTATACATGCACATACATATTATATTTATATAGTTCTTGCATTATTTAGTCTGGTAGGAATTTAGACATTGCACGAAATTTTCTTACCTTGCCCAAATTTTTTATCCTTAGCAAAGCTAGTAAATGTTGTACTGTAAGATGATATTAAATTGATAATACTGCTATGATGTGGAAATTTCTCTTTTTTACCAGACAGGGCGGAATACATATTTGGGTATTTCTTCCTCATCTTAATAGGTATGGAGTAGTTATAAAAATCAGGGTAATTATACAAAAACTGGGTACCTAAAAATATAGACAATTATTGAGATAAAAGAGAATAAACTTAGTAAAAAGAAGTAATATTTATCATAACTTGAGAAAACGAGGCAAGTAATCATAGACATGTGTCATGGCTAGAGATATGATCAATTTTGAATCTCAAAATATTGAATTATCTATTATTTCATTATATTAGTTATTCACCAGTATATTTCAATTTTCTCTTGTATTGGAGTTTCATGGACCTAATTTTCTTATTAAATTTATATTTCAATATATCCATCTCACTAATCTGGTTAAAAAGGTAAAACATAAAACAAAAACTAACCAATCTGGTCTATATTAGGATAACTATCATAAGTAACACAGAGAAAGATCTGACCATACACTCTAGCACTTTCTGGCCAGCTGTAACCATCATGTATATACGGTGGAAAATGGGGGGTACTGTGAACTAACCAATAACCTTGTTGATCATCAAACGCTACCACTCCTACAACATAGACAGAAAAACACTTTTTTTTTTAACACTTATCCTTAAGTGACATTTAGGAGTAAAGATCACATTAAATAGCCAAACAATTATAGGTATACTACTCCTGAGTTTATTGTACACAACATTTCAATAAATCACAGGGTCATCATCAGTGAAATACCATATATTGTGTTCTGTTATTTTTCAACAAGGATAACTCTGGGGAACTTTTCTTTCTTCTTATTTTTGCCATCACTTCAGAAATTTCTTTCTAGAGTCACAAAGCAAATATAAGTCAACATTTGACAAGACAAACACAAGAATTTTAAAAATTAACCAAATTTTGGATCTTGACAAAAGGTGATAAGATAAAAATACCTTTAGAATGGCCATTAGCTTCATGGATCTTTTTATTGGGTGTTTGGTCATTGTACATCCCATATAATATTGATGATGGCTGTAATAGATATATAGTATAATACTTTATCCAAATAAAATAACAGAAATCAATCAAACACTGAGCTGTGACTGGGTTTGTGCACTCAGAATTCTCGTTAGAGAGTTCACATAGTTAATATTGCTTTTTTGGAATATCTAACCTAGTTTACAAACGTCAGTCTTGAAACTAGTTTATAAGGGTTAGTAGGTGTATATCTTACCTTGGCACCATATATCTGTTGTAATGTATAGTATAAGGCATGTTTAGTAGTGTCTATACCATATTGAGATAGTTCAAACTTTGGAGTATTGACATCCATATAATAAAATCCATAACCTTCTTTTACCAATGAATTTTTACTCTTCCTTATTTTGGGTATTTTATATATAATAAACCTTCAAATATACAAAATAATCATTACATTAATCCAAGGTTGCAAAACTCAGTCGGTAGTCACTTGGATTCTCATCTGCAGACAGGTGATTGAGTGCCATGGGTTTATATCCTCTTTAAGGTAAGAAAACTTCTGAGATCATGGCTAGTGCTTTCAGAGGTCAGTCTGATGTAGGCTTTCAACATGTATCACAGACCAATTCATTTGGCTCTTTTATGTTGGCGAATACTGACAAGAAAATGCAAATGTCTGACAAAGTCTTCAATAGCTAAAATATTATAATGGTAATACTAATGGTGATAATAAAGAGGTTTTATAAACTATGTATGTGTATTGTGTAAACTGATCAATTTTCATTATTTAAATCAGACCATCTTGACAGATTGATATTGTGGAGTTGAACAAAGACACAATATACTAACTTTCTTCAACTTTTTTCATTTTTTATTTGAATTTATGGAGTCATGAAAAATGATCACGTATGAAACATTTATAGAGGCATTTATTAGTTTTAGAGCAACTATTCTGTAGATTGGGTTAATAAAACATGATTTTTAGGACCTGCTGAACATACATGTATCCACAGGGAAGAAATATCTGCCTTTCTTTCTTTCATCATACCGAATACATGTTACTTTACAGCCCTGTAAATGATATTTTTTGATAATTGATTTCAATAGAAAGTGGTTTTAAGTAGAAATGTCATTGAACTAAAGGTTAACTATGACTCAAAATCCTTTGATGATATAACCCACTCGTCACATGACAGTTGCCTATTGAAACTTAGATATATTAGTCATATTAAACTCTTTTATAGCTATCTTAACTTCCTGCTTACAGGAAATGATGATACAGTTCTCCCAGCTTCGTCTGTCAATCTAATTTCACTTGTCATTTTTAAAGAGACAAGTCGCCATTTTTAAAGGGACAAGTCACCATTTGTTTGATCAAACGAATTTTTTTTCCATCTAAGCTAATCAGTAATACTGTTTACAGCTCATCGTTGAAATGTGAGCTTTCAAATCCATGTGTGTCCAGAATAATCCATGTTTGAAAGTTAAAATGACGACTTGTCTTTTCTTGAGACATCTATAGAAATAAAGAAATTCCTAGTTTGAGTTATTTTTGAAGAAATTATTAAATTTTTGTACATTTCTTGTACTTCGGAAGACTATTTACAAATATTCAAGACCCAAATCAACCCCACGAATCTGTCTCTTTAAGTATGTTGGAATATCAGGTTCATACAATATAATCTACTCTATTGCTACTGGGTTCTTGTGAATGAGAGAAATGACAGTGGTCATGTCATAATCATCTCGGACTTATTATAGGCTAGCTTATAATTTCACCAAAAGAAAATAGCACCATCCCTTCAAATATACTTCAAACTAGAAGTTTCGCTTTCTTTTTCAATATATTTCCTTTCCATGTGAGACAGAGTCTCAATGGTCATCCTGTCCACAAGTAAGGCCTACATGTGATAGCTTAGGCCTATTCATATTGGTAATGACTGTAAAATATTCAACATACCAATCTACAGGTTTTCCTGTGGAATCTAAACATTGTAAGGTATATACAGTATAGAAATATAAAATATTCACAGTTAAAATTACTATAGTCTTCATGACTGCTTTTTTACAGCTTACTAAACAAAGCTTCCTCTTCTTTCACTTTCACAGCCTATCAGATTAACCAGTCTGTAGTTTTCTATTATCCAGTCACAATATGTACCACTTGCACTATAATGAAATAATTGTTTGAGACTAGTACCTAATAGTTTCTAAAGATGTGTTTTTGGCCTTGAAATCTCTGCATAGTTTAGAAATAATAAAAGAACTTCAATCATATGACTTAGTCAACTTTTGAAGGATCAATCCAGAATTATATCTTTCAAGGGCTCACTATTATATTGTTAATGGGGTTTTGTATCTATTTTATGTGCTCATGTGTCAGAGCCATTTATGACATCTGTGTGCATCATTCAAATTTTTTATCAGATGTCTGTGGTTCCTGTTATTATATAAATGTATATGACATTACTATCACACAAATCTGTTTGTAATTAATTAGCAGCTCTGCAATAATTATGTCATAAGACACCAAGTTAGAGGAATTACAAGACCCACAGATCTGACAGAAATTTAGAGAGGTGCAAATTGATAATTTTGTATAAAAACACTCTTTACAATACCTTTAATACCATATTTTTAAGATAAAATATTGAAGGATTAATTTTCGGACTGTAGACTCATTGACAAATCTATCCAAGATGAATCAAGGCTTGTGTATGAGAGAGTGCATTGACTTAAATCACAACAATGACTAAAGTTGTCTGTGCATAACACTGATGCCTGTCTTTAGCAGTCACTAATCTAAATTAGTATTTAGGTAAAAAAAAAACAATTCTATTCAATAAAAAAGAAGTATATTTAAATTAAAGATATTGCACAAACATCATATCACACAATCATGGTTTTAGCAAATTGTAAAAAACAAAAATAAACAACAACAAAATAATCAAAAATTCCAGTACCATAATAAACCTTGAGATTCAATAGGAAAATATTAATAAATAAAATTCAACAACAAATAATTTAGTAATATATATATATATATACTATAACAAATCATTTTCACTGTTAAAATAGTGTTCAATACATCAAACAAAGTATCAAAAGTAGGACGTAAAACTCCATTCATTTCATTTTTATCTATCAAAGTATCAACATGTTTCAGGTTCTATTTTAATATTCTTGTCAAATGTCACAGATATATATAATAAACATTATTTAATAGCTGTTCAAAAATCTGTTCTACCCTTTTATGTAATCTCAAGTTCAGCTCCAAATATGACCTTTATTTTGAACCAGCGCTGATTTAGAATTGGAATAGTCCAATCAGTGTCCCTGATTCACATCAAACTAAGATGTTTGTGCACATAACAATGTGTTGATTACTTTAAAACTACCTAAAAATAAGGTGGACTCTTCAAGGTTGAATCTGACTCAGATGAGCACAAACAACTCTCCTTGACTAGACCTCCGAAACAAATAGACAATATTCTAAATGTTCACTGGATACAATTAATATCTACATTTATGTCATGTGACATAAATATTTAAATAGTTCAAAAAATAAATAAAACAAAACATACATTTATTAGATAGAAAATAAACAAAACAAACATAAATATAACAAAACAAACATAAATAAAACAAAACAAGCATTTATTAGATAGAAAATAAACAAAACAAACATAAATATAACAAAACAAACATAAATATAACAAAACAAGCATTTATTAGATAGAAAATAAACAAAACAAACATAAATAAAACAAAACATACATTTATTAGATAGAAAATAAACAAAACAAACATAAATATAACAAAACAAACATAAATATAACAGAACAAGCATTTATTAGATAGAAAATAAACAAAACAAACATAAATAAAACAAAACATACATTTATTAGATAGAAAATAAACGAAACAAACATAAATATAACAAAACAAACATAAATATAACAAAACAAGCATTTATTAGATAGAAAATAAACAAAACAAACATAAATATAACAAAACAAACATAAATAAAACAAAACAAGCATTTATTAGATAGAAAATAAACAAAACAAACATAAATATAACAAAACAAACATAAATATAACAAAACAAGCATTTATTAGATAGAAAATAAACAAAACAAACATAAATATAACAAAACAAACATAAATATAACAAAACAAGCATTTATTAGATAGAAAATCAAACAAAACAAACATAAATAAAACAAAACAAACATTTATTAGATAGAAAATAAACAAAACAAACAAACATAAATAAAACAAAACATACATAAATAAAACAAAACAAACATTTATTAGATAGAAAATAAACAAAACAAACATTTATTAGATAGAAAATAAACAAAACAAAACAAACATAAATATAACAAAACATACATTTATTAGATAGAAAATAAACAAAACAAACAAACATAAATAAAACAAAACAAACATAAATAAAACAAAACAAACATTTATTAGATAGAAATTTAAAAAACAAAACAAACATAAATAAAACAAAACAAACATTTATTAGATAGAAAATAAACAAAACAAAACAGACATAAATAAAACAAAACAAACATAAATAAAACAAAACATGCATTTATTAGATAGAAA